ACCAATGAATTTCACATCCTCTAATTACCCTAAAGAAAAAAATGCTGCACTATATAAAATTACAAGTTCATACCTTGCAATTGTGGAACTCCACTGTCATCTTTTGTCGATCTGTTACAAAATAAGGTGACAAATATCCACGATCAAAGTGCATTCCTTCTACAATTTGTAGACTGTTTTCAGCACACTTCCCTTTTTCAATTGTGACTACACCCTTTCTTCCCACTTGTTGAAGAGCATCAAAAATCATGTTACCTACTGTATAATCATTCCCTGCACTAACTGCAGCAACATCTGCAAGCTCATGATCCTCAACCTGCCAAAATTTGATTCCTCAAACAGTTGATTTCAAAAAAATAAAATAAAATTACAGCTATCTTACTCCTTGCAGTTTGTTGAATATACTTCTTGTTTGTTCCCAATGCTTTCTAAATTTTTTCAATCTGTTTTGGACCTTAAATTTTCTAAGCCAATTGAGAGAAGTAATCAACTTATGTACCTCTCTTGACATCAATTTGAGTTCAGAAACAAGGGCCTTTGAAGTCTTCTCAATCCCACGAGCAATTTGAACAGGATTCATGCCAGCTGCAATCACCTAAAGCAAAGCAACAAATTTTATTAAAATAATTGGCAAAGATTGACACGAAGAACTTCTCACTTATCAAATAGGAAAACAGAAAGTCTAATAAAAAATATTATCATCCTAAAAGATACTAAATCCCAAATTAGAAGCTCCTAAAGAAGGTAAACAACAGACTTCTTTTTCCTGAATAAAATTGGAGATAAACTTACAGCAGGCAAATAGCGGTATACGGCAAATAGCAGTATACAGCATATATGATATATTGGTCTTTGACCATCAAAATGAGGATTTATTTTGTTCGAAGTGAGTGTCTACTTGTGACTTACAGCAGACAGTTCATACCTTTACACCTTCAGTGATTAAACCCTGAGAAAGAATTATAGATGTAGTGCAACCATCACCAGCAAGGTCATTTGTTCTGGCACCAGCTTGTCTAACCAATTTAACTCCAACATTCTCCAAAGGGTCTTCCAATTCAATCTAAATTTAACAAGTTAGATGAGAAGTAATTAATTAAAAATGTCAAAATCATAAAGGAGAAATTTCCCCTCATTAATCACCTTATTCCTACCACTGTTTCAAGGCAGATCTATATGCCAACCTGAACGTTCAAATAAGGTTGAAAATTGTTATAATCTTTTAATCGTCTAGAAGAAATAGTTTTTCCATGGCTCTTAAGATGAAGAACCAAAACTTATTACCTGTTTTGACACAAGTTCTAATAGAAAGGTTACAATTAATAAAGAAAAAGTAAAAAACAAAAAACAAAAAAGAAGGAAACAAAGTGAGGAAGGGTGGTTTTGGATAAATTTAGGAGTAGTTTTGAGTGCTCTTTGCTCCACAATGGCCAACCATGATATATCATGGAGAATTCTTGAAAGTTGAAACTTATAATCAAATTTTAGGTATAAAATTTAGCCTAACTTGAATAAAAATTGGTGTTTTTGATTCATATTAAGACATGGAAGAATTTTGCATCACTTTGTACTGAAGGAGGCAAAAATTTGTAAAAGACCACACAAGCAGTAAGACACCGCCAAATCAAAGAAATTTACATGCCCTGTGATAGGTTGCTTCGATGATACTAGGGTTTATCATATATTTGCACAAAAATAGACCAAGTAGATAAATAAGCAGAGAACTGTTTGCTGATGGTCAGTAATAATTTTCATCCAAATTCTTTAGAAACTTTGAATAGCTTTTGGCATCGTTAATAGCAGGCTCCTAAGATGCAAAAAAACACTTTAATTTTTCAGTTCTATTCGAAGTTCGAGCGTGTGAATTCATCATCCTAGTAACCAAAATCCTAATTCCAATTAAGATGCATAACCAAGTACACAACATAAAATGGCGGAAACCAAAGAAATTAAAGTGCAATGTACTGAAATATTAGACTACAACACCTGTTTGAGAACAGTTTCTCCATCATTAACAATCTTGGGAGGTCCATACTTGTTCTGCAACACTACATTCCTTCCCTTTGGACCCAAAGTCACCCCTACAAGCTCTGCCACCAAGTCCACTCCTGTCTGCACCAATCAATAACACATTAACACAACACAACACAACCCAACAAAAATTAAAAAGAAGCATTGTCAAATGTGAAATGTAACCTGGAGTTTCTTAGTAGCAGAACCATCACGGTTAAAGTAAACCTCTTTGGCCATGGCTCTTGGGGTTAAAATGGAAGGTGAAGAAGAAGAATAAGAAGTCTCTTTGGGCAGTGTTGTATTGGTGAAAGATATTGCAGAAATTGGAGTTGGTGAACATGAACATGCCATGGTTGTTCCAACGAAATATCTGCTTAGTTTTTTTGGAGATTGGTTTCAAAGACAGTTGATTTCATATTCATATGTTTTGGATAAGAGAAAGAAAGAGAGATATTTAGCAGGAAAATTAAAAAAAAAAAAAAAAAATCTGGGAAGTTGTTTTGGCGCTATTCCGCCAGTAAACTGTATTTCAAGTCTTTGTAGACTGTTTTGGGCCTCTATCTGTACATCTGCCTTTGGGTTATCCAAATTCTTTGATAGTTATTGGATGAGTTTTCTTACATTTTTTAAGACAAATTATCTATAACAACTTTTTTACTTAAATTCAGACATTAATTATTAACCGTATAATATATCAATCAAGAAACTGGAGAGGGAAGTTGAAGGTTATTACATCTTGCGTCAACTTGGAAATTTCTTTCAACTAATAAATTAATGACGATTAATTAGAATACAAATTTATGTTAATAGGATTGGCCCTTATGAGATGACTTACCCCAACCCAACACAACGTTTTTTATTTATAGGCTATTCAACTTAGGGGTGTTCAAAAAAATGTAAAAACTGAACCGAACCGAACCGATAACTGAACCAATAACCGAACCAAAAAACCGGTTAACCCAAAAAAGGGTTCGATTACGGTTCAAAAAATTCAAAAAACCGGATTTTCGGTTCGGGAAAAAATAAAAGATGGTTAACCGAAACCGGTTTTACAAACACACACACACACACACACATATATTAAATAAAAATAAAAATATATATTATATATTAAATAAAAAATAATTAGTTAATTACATTTTGGACTTTTAATTGTATCAATTTTTAATGTATTGTTAGTAGTGGTCAATGGATATGTATAAATGTTTAATTTTTATTTGGATATGTATTGTTTATATTTACAATTTAATTTAGGAAAAAATTAAAAAAAAAAATTTATAAAAAAAAGGGAAAACCGGTTCAAAACTGGTTCGGGAAAATTCTCGAACCGAAGAACCGGTTCGGTTCAGAAAAGCGGTTAACCGGTTCGGTTAACCACTTTTGAACACCCCTAATTCAACTTTAATACCATGAATCTTTTATAATATACTAACAATAGTTATATTAACACAAATTTAATTCCTTTACTTGTTTTTTAGCATGGGATTAAAGGTATTCTGGAAAAGCTAATGAAAATTCAAGTTAATCATTTTGAAGCATTAATCTTTAATTATTATAGAATTGATGATGTTTTCACTTTTAGTTCTATCATTTTTATCCATTTTCAAACCATATTAATAAATACTAAAGTTATAATTTCCTTTAGAGTAAACGACTTTTTCCCACTCAAGGTTTGCCTTAATGACACTTTCACACCAAAAAAGTTTCAAAATACCATTTTCCCATCCAAAGTTAATATTCCGTTATTACTCAAAGCCGATTCTGGCCGATACCGACGATGAATATTCTCTCCGTCACCACCATTTGAAACTCCGGTCTCTTCTTTCGGACACCTGATTTCTCGTCAATTGTCAGCCACCATAAAGTTAGGGTTTTTTTTATTGATTTTCGACTAATTCCGAAGGAAAATATTCAATCAATTATCACTATTCAATCAACCCGCCTTCACTTTATAAAACCGCTCTTATCTTGGCTCCTGATAACTCGTCGAATGTCAGTAGAGGAAGTGAAGTGTATTTTGGGTATTAACGAAATATAAACTTTGGATGAAAAAGTGGTATTTTTGAAAAAGTTTCATTAAGGCAAAGCTTGGGTGGGAAAAAGCTGTTTGCTCTCTCATTTAAGCATGCAATTTAATTTCCAAAAAGAAAAAAGTTATTATATATAGAGATATTATTATACAATAAGTGGTGGAAAGAAACGTTACTGTAACTGATGAAACACGCAGTCTAAATTATAAGAAAGAAGTGTAGAATGTGTAGTGCAGGAGAAGATTGGAAACAAAATCGAGGCATGACAAAGAAGCGCATTATATCACAATCCCCAAACAATCTTTATCAAAAATCAAAATCTCCTTTTTGCTGTCTTTATTGCATGTATAATGGTCTAATTTTTATCCCTTTTTCTGTGTTTCTTTTTCTTCTTTTTTTGTGGGGAAAAAAATAAGCTGAGCAGAAAATAAAGATTTTGATTTTGATGAACACTTCAAACTCAATACACTGTGTAACTATAGGATAATATATGCTATTTAAACTATCAAATGCACTGTCAAAAATTAACTGAGAGGAAGAACCCAACAAATGATTCCCATAATTGAACTATATACATAAACGCATTTTAATTTTGTGTAATAAAGGCAATAAAAGTATATCAAATCTTCCTCACGATACAAAAGTGTTTTGATCAAAATCCAATCTCAAAAGTTGTGAATCTCATATGTGATTCTTCACTCATGATAGCAGGATAATGAAAATAGAATCCATGTGTGATGTTATCATTTGTAATATAAATTTTGGAAACATAATCATTCAATTCTACCTCTTAAGTTCAACAATATCCCAGATTTGCTGCTTTACTTTAGAAATTAATTCAACCTTATGTACAAACTGCTACCTTCTCTATCAAAATTAAGCTTGCCAAAATTACAACTACAATACCAACTAACTTTAGCAACAAAAAAACTAATCAAATAAGGAACCTCATAATCACTATTCAACTTCTTCCTCTTCTACTTTTCCTGGATGTAATCTCTTCTTCCCACTGAGAGCAACCCCAAAGAGCTTCAAAGTACTCTTGGGTTCCTCAGTTACAGTCACTGAAGATGACTTAACCACTCCTTGATTTACAGTAACCAGTTCTCTGAGCCTAGGTTCTGCATAATTGTGAACCGTTGATCTATGAGCATAGTCATACGGAACAACTGGTTTTACATGATTCTGAATGAAGAAGATAATGTCATTGTAGAGTTTCTTCATGTGAGTGAGTTCAGATAAAAGCACGTAGTTCCTTCTGCGCAAACGTTGATTATCTTCAGTGAGTGCTGTCAGAATATCGGTCGGAGGTTTATAATTTGGTGATGGCAATGGAGAGTCTACCCAACAAAAATTTTCCTGATCGGGTAATTGGAGAAAATGAGTTGGATTTTCATGGTAGTTTACTTGTTGGTGATAATTATGATTCTGGGAAGTTTTTCTTCTGTGAATCTCTGATAGCAAATGCTTCGCTCCTTTTCTGAAATATTCGTTTGCAAACTCCCATCTATCTGCAACTATCTTTCTGAAACCCTGAAAATATATATAGTAATTAACCATTAATTAAGAAAATATAGCAAGAATGGAAGTTGCCATATTGAGTTTAAAAAAGAAAAAAAGAAACTCATGTTAATTTCAAATGAATGAATGCAAAAGTAGAGATATAGTGGAGAATATATAAAGATAGATGTATAAAAGACTAATAATTCTTACATAGGTGTTAAGCTGCCTAACGAAGCTTGAGAAATTGTTGTGCTTGAAGTAGTTGGGAAGAAGATCTCTAGCAAATTCAGGAGGTCTCCAAACAACAAAAGTGGTTTCATCTGCACCCCAAGACACAATGTGGTCAGTGAGAGGATCATCAACAAGTTGGTATGTTTTTGTAAGAAACGGAGCAGGAACTGTCTTCTGAGACTCCACTGAGAACACCATTTCTTCACACCTACCAGTACTTTCAGCTGTGAAAGCCATTACTATTAATTTGATAATTTAAAGAAGGAAACGATATATGCTTCTTCAAGTACTTATTCTGAAACTAAAATATATTTAACTCCAAATAGTTGAATTAAACCTTCTCTCTCTCTCTCTCTCTCTCTCTCTCTCTCTTTCCACCTCTCACTATCTCATTATAATTTTCTAACTTTATGAAACAGAAACATATGACCATGTCACTAAATTAAATAAAAGCTCTTCTTTTCACTGTTTTCTAACCCTAAGAAGCATATGACTATGTCAGTAAATAAATTAATAATGAATAATGTGTTGAATTACTTTAATGATGTTAATAATTAAGATCCAATGAGATATTAATTATCTGTTGATTGTTCCTTTGGCAACTACTAGTAGTAGTAGTGGGTTGATGCAGCTTAATTGATAAAATCATACATTTAATCAACTTTTTCCTTGATGATCAGGGTGCTCCAATCCTTTGGTATTTTGTGGTGATCACAGTTCTGTCCTTTTATGCTAAAGGGTTGTGCCAGTTTTCAGTTCAGTGTACTCAAATGAGAAGCAGCTGATGCTTCTACTGTTCATAGAGAAAACAAAATTTTGGAAAAGCTTTCGAGTTTTGAGTGCCAAAATTATAAGCGGCTAACAAGCCTTTAAACAAATTAAGATCTTAATTTGGGGTTTTGCTAAATATATTGTTGTGATAGTTTCCAAGATTTTCTAATCTAGAAAGAACTGAAAGCCGGAAGCTTGTGATAACATAATTTGCTCATTCAAAGCTTACTTTGACAGTCATAAATGACGAAAAGCCCTAACTCAAGAAAAAAAATATTAACTTTGGTAATTGAAAAAACTCCACACATATAGCTGCAGTGATCATTAGAGTCACCATACAATAGGTTCTTAAGAAATAAAAAAATTAAATAAATCACATTGATGAATGACAACTTTTTCATTCGTTTTTAATTTTATGCATTCTATTAACTGGAGCATGAACTTATTCTTCTATAATTAATGACCTTCTTGGGAGAGCATTACTATAAGAATATGTTTTTAGTTAATTAATTAAGTCGAATAGCACAATTACATCCCCATTTCACATTCCAATGTTGTTTATCCACAAGAGGAGTAACGTAAAGCATAATTGTCAATGGATAAAATTATGCAATAAATTGATATAATACTGGAGACCTGGTCACTGAAAGAAAAAGAGAGAAACATGCAGAGACATATAAAAACATATGGTTTCTTGTTTTTTTTATGGAAGGGGATCTGAAAGGGCGTGCATGATTCTGACATTTATCTCCTAAACTTAAGCTGCAGATTTTAAAAATTGAATGCATCCTGTTCCTAAGATGTTGAATAGAAGAAAATTTTGGAATTAGAATATGATTATTAAGTAATCAATTATTCGTTCCACTCCGGTAATCAGTTTCTACTATTTATATATAACGTTTTAAGTCACGGGTGTGCCTTGGAATTTACAAATCAATAAATCAACAAAAGGACAAGAATGTTCCTAGCTACTTCCGACTAAAATAAATAATATCATAATCCACGGCTAAATTTCGGTCAAACAATGTGAAATTTGTGCTCATGATCAACGATAGAACTCCTCTTTCTAATGAAGAATTTTAATAAAACTCCACCAAATTTGTTGTGCCAAAAATACATACTAGTGTCGGTACCATTAATCAGAGTTTAACATGTACTTAAAGATAATGTGGTATTAGTTATCAAAAACTCAAACCGCTTTCAAGAGATATTTTATATCAATCATATCCTATTTTAAGATAAAGATTAAAGAGTGATCTCTACGTGTGAAGACAATTTACAAAAACACTCATTACATTGACTTCAAAGGTATAAATTAACACCTCTCTTCATGAAAAAGAAGCTTGCTTAGCATATGAGAGCTAGACAAACATTTGAGCTTTATTATTTTTTCTCTATAAACAAAGCATTTTCTCCATTCTTTGTATACCTTACAGGCAATATCAGAAAAATAGCAAGAGAATAATAAAATAACAGTGGATGTAAAATTCGCTTTAAGCATCTGAGCCATTATAAAAATCTCGCTTGTCAATCTATTATTTATGTCTTTGCAAACATATATAATCTCTACACCATAAACACTTCTCATGAATCATTCACGTGTAATTTGTAAGAACAGCTTAACACTTTGCACGTGCGAGTCATTGGTGTCAAAATCAAGCATCAATAATTTGGCGCTAGAAGGAGGGCATGATTCACATAAGCTCTCCATGTTTTTCCAACAAGCCTCAAAATCTTCATGTTATCACATGTGAAAATTTGAGCCTGATAAAGTCTGAATCTGGCAATGTGATAAACACAAGAGTTGTAACCCTTTGAGTTAGCGTTCCGATGGTCTAAGAATCATCCAAATCCGAGGTCTACAGCTTAAGTTATCATCAAAAATACTGAAGCCTATTTCCCATCAGAGCTCTTAGATCGCGTGGCCAGATTGCAGATCGCACGTATTAGAGCTCTCAAATTGCGTGGTCAGCTCATACGCATCAGAGCTCTCAGATCGCATGGTCAGATCGTAGATCGCACGCATCAGAGCTCTTAGATCGCATATCACACGCATCAGAGCTCTCTGATCGTGCTTCCGAGCACTCAGATTGCATGTTCAAGATCGTTGAGATCACACGTTTAGATCATTTAGATAGCGTTTCCGAGCGACCAGATCATGCTTCCGAGCACCTAGATTGCGCTTCCGAGCGCTTAGATCGCTGATCTCAAGTTCTTAAATCAAGCTTCGACGCTTTCTGATCTAACTCCTTGTGTTCTCAGATCAAGCTTCGCACTTTCTGATCAAACTCTTTGTGCTATATGTTTTCTGATCGAACTCCTTGTGCTCTTAGATCGTAAAGAGCTCTCGAGTTCTCAAATCAAAGCTCCTTGCACTTCATATCGAGCTCCTTGCACTTCAAATAAGCTCGCTCATTTGCTTGAGATCGCACGTTGTGGATCGTTCAGATTGCACACCTCAAGCTCTTAGGTTGAGCCCTTATCAAATTGCGATCAACTCCTAGCTCTCTAATCGTGATCAACTCCTAGCTCTCAAATCATGATCCGCTCTTAGCTCTCAAATCGCGATCAGCTCTTAGCTCTGAGATTGCGAATAGCCTCAGGTCATGTTCTTAACTATAAGATCATGATTAGTTCTCAGATCTCAGGTCACAAGCAGCTGCCAATGTTAGAAAAAATGAGTAGAAAACTCAAAACAACCCTGAAACATGTCAAAACGGTGGATTTTGGCCCCAAAAAATGGCACTTATCAAGTTCCCCAATTGTCATGACGTAGATCTCGGAATGAGCATTCCATGGATAGCTTAGGGCTCTAAAACTCCTCTCGGATAAAAAGTTATGACTGTTTTAAGTTGGCTTATCTGTTTAAGGCCTCTAAGCCGTGCGTTTGGGCTTCTAACGTCAGCTCTCTTTAGAAATTCATCTATTAGACATTTTATGTCAGTTATCAGATTACGCTCAACTTCGGATCGCTCTAAGCTCTCAGATTGCAGTCCTAGCTCTCAACACCCAATTACGCGAGGCATAGTTCGAGCTCTTTAGTTCGAGACTGCAACCTATAGTGCGGCAACCATTTAGATCTAAGACATGAGTTTTTGAAGTGCAATTACACACTACAAAAACTGGGGGGGTTCTGTTGTGCCAAAAATGCACACTAGTGTCAGCACCACCAATCATAGTTCAACAAGAACATAAAGATAAAGTGGTATTAGCTATCAAAAACCCAAATTGCCTCCAAGAGATATTTTATATCAATCATATCCCATTTTAAGATAATGATTAAGGAGTGATCCCCACGTGTCAAGACAACTTGCAAAAACACTCATTACAATGACCTCAAATGTATAAATGGACACCTCTCTTCGTGAAAAATAGGTTGACTAGGCATATGAGAGCTAGACAAACATTTGAGCTTTATTATTTTTTCTCTGTAAACAAAGCATTTCTCCATTCTTTGTATGCCTTATAGGTAATATTAGAAAAATAGTCAGAGAATAATAAAATAATAGTGGATATAGGATTCGCTTTAAGCATTCAAACCACTATAAAAATCTATCTTGTCAATCTATTATTTATGTTTCTGCAAACATATATAATCTTTCCACCATAAACACTTCTCATGAATCATTCACGTGTAATTTCTGAGAACAGCTTAACACTTTGCATGTGCGAGTCGTTGGTGTCAAAATCAAGCATCAACAAAATTTAAGAAGCCTTTGTAATTAATTTTAAACGTTTAAAAAATATATTTAAATTACATTGAATCTTAATAATTTAAAAAGTTTAGATCCAATGAGCTAATTCTTATACATAATAAATATAAGATGTTCTCCATCCATAAAATTGAACTAAATCTATGGCAATAGTAGCGTCATAGAATCCAGAGGTTCAAATTTGGAATAATTAATGGAATAATATATAGTAAAATCTCTCTATAGTTATAATAGTGTGATCAAACTAATTTATTACTATAAAGACGTTATAACTTAATAGAGGTATAGTTACAAAAATTAATATTTTGATTTCTTATTTTATAATTCATGTTTTAATAGTGTGCATTAGGATTTCAATTAATTGTTTTAGTACTATTGGTATTAGTATTAGTATCACACAACTGTTCTGTTCCTACCACCAGCTAGCACTTTCAAAATCCAGCTGTGTGATGCAGACATCATTAGAATTTCTAACGTTATTATAGTCAACGTTTTAATCGCCTATTTTTGAAACGGATAGAAGATTATGTATTGGAATCAGAAAAGAAAAGTATCCTTAATAAAACTGTAAATGTAGTTGCTGCATGGTTAATTGATGTTAAGACACAGACAATTGTCAATTTGTTTTAAGCACTGCAAAATTAGGATCTCCGGTGTCGATGAATTGCAAGTTACAAATGAAGTGGATGTGAAGAATAAAAGACTCATTGCAGAATTGAGTGATCAGATTCAACAACTTCAATACACTAATTG